CTTTATCTTGCTCATCATCACTTTCTTCAAAAATGACAAGACTCTCTTCAAGTTGCTTCCACCTATAAAGTCGTTTGCAGCTCAAGATCACACCTTGACTCATTGGCTGAATCAGGGTCGAAGTGTTACAGGGAAAGAACATGCATTTTATTTGACCGTCCTCACTACTGAGTGATTCGGCAGAAGGGTGAACTGGAGAACTGTCCAGAAGTAACAAGGCCCTGACGTCCTCTTCATGGAATCCTAAAACATTAAGCTGAAAATGCCTGACCTCAGGAACAAAGTTTTGAAAGAACCATTCTGAAAACAATTCTCTGGTGAACCAAACATCTTTACTGGGCTTATATATCACAGGTATTGCACCTGTGTCCTCTTTCACACTTCTGGGCAGCTTTGATTTTCCGATAACGACTGATTTTAGTTTATGAGTTCCATCTGCATTTGCACATAAAAGCGCAGACAACCGTTCTTTGTTTATTTTCCTCCCAGGCAGGCAGATCTCTTTCCTGCTTGCCTGAATGTTTTCTGGCATTGACTTCCAAAAGAGGTCAGTCTCATCCCCACTGTATAGCTGAGCTAGACTCAGTTTCTCCTCTTTGATAAGCATGTACAGTTTTTGTCGAAAGGGCTCAACATTTTCTGAAGCTGAACTTAGGACTTGTTCTCCACATATTTTTCGATTCCCAATGGCGTGCCTGTTTCGAAATCTAAAAAGCCAACCAGTGCTAGCTTTAAAGTCAGTTCGCCCGAAACACTGTGCGAACCTCTCTGCAGCGGCCTGAAGCTCCACACCCCTCACGGGGACGCCAGCTGAGCGTTTCTGCTGGTACCACATGTACACTGCGTCATCCACATCTCCGTATTTGGCTCCTGTTGTCCTCTTTCTCTTCTCAGCCCCTACCAATGGCATGTCCTGCTTCAGTACAAAGTCCAAAATCAATTTCTTATTCTTCTTAATGTCATAAAATGTTGATTTACTGATTCCAAATTCATCCATTACACTTTTCAGAGACCGTCCAGCTTCAATCCTACTGAGAACCTTCATTTTCTCCTCCAAATTCAATGTTGTATATTTCCCTCTTTTATTCATACTGAATTGGGTTCCAGACAACCAACAGGAGAAAAAGAGGGAAAAGCCTTACTTATTTGGGAAAAATTAAAAGCAAAACAACTAGCTTAAAGCCCCAAAAGGCACAGGCATTTGTACAGAAGGGTATTGGGCTAAAAGGGATAAAGACTCATGACACAAGTGCTAGTCTACAGATGAAGGGCTTATGAACTCAGAAAGCCGCCACTGTCAAAGCCCTATCTAGCCTTTGCTCTGACAAGGTAAGGATGATCGGTTCTCAGAACCCCATCTTCCTCCTCCTCTCTTGACAGCTCCAGCAGCTCTAGTCAGGAGTGACAGGAATACCTGCTCTCCCTAACTCCACACAGACACAGACAGCAGGAGCAGAGGGGAGATGTGTCCACAGGAAGAAACCCAGGTGAGCTAAGTCTACATAAAAAGTAGTGCTTGAGAAGGGAGTGTGAAAGCCTCAAAGGCATAGACAGAATAATCTTGTGTAGCAGAGAAGCAGCGTGGCTTCTCCCCCTCCAAAACGACCTGATTTCACCTCACTGCCAGAAGAAAACATGGTGCTCGCGGTGCTCTGTAAGCAGTATTCACTGGGCAGCAGGCCATCCACCCGGATGAGGAGTCCAAGCTATCCTGACATTGGGATGTCTGGGGAGCTGGCATTCCTGAACAGTTGTTAAGTATGTTTACTGAGAAAGAAAGTTAGTAGGTTCTGTTGTCCATGTGAAGAAATCTCACATTTATTACATTCGATGTAGCATTCTCAAAGACCGAGCTTTAACTTCTTGTGTGTACCTAGGTAATCTCTAAGTATGTAAAAACCTGTTAGTGGCACTTTCCCACTCGGAGCTTCTTCCATGAGTACATCTGGTATATTCTCAAGTGTTATTTTTCATTGAAGTTTTTCCAAATTTTGGAATTATCAAGTTTCAGAGTCCTGGCAGTTCTCAGATAAGTACAAAAGTTTTAAAAATATTTTATCACTGCTAACATTCTTTAAACGATTTGATTTTTCATTTTTTTGTTCTCAATTTACATTAAGATGTTAAGTAACAGATTCAATATATTTGAAACTTTATTCCATTTCTCTTCACTGTAGATGTTGCTTAATCGGAAATAATACTTTTCCCCTGTTTGAAGAAATTCAAAGGATTTCTCACCAGTGTATCTGATATTCCTCAGATATTCCTTGCAGATCTTCCTGGGGATGCCCAATGCCATTCCAGGTCCTTCCAAATGTCCTACTCTAGATTAATTTCATTGTCTTCATTCCAGACACACAAACTCACGAGAAGTAACAAAAACTGCAACTTTTATCCATTTCAGGTGCTATGAAGAAAGAAAAATATGTCAGAAAAATAAGGAAAATGATTGGCAGTTCACTTATTTTTTTCCTCTCCTATACTACAGAGCCTGATTGGCTATCATTCATTCCTCAACTACCAAGAATTGTCACAAGCTTCTCCTCTAGAAACCCAAAAGAGTTCAAGCTGCTAGTTTTCCTCTGTAATTATTGCTAGAAATGCCAAGGGGTCTGTAGAACACTAAGAGGATCATGAAAGAGTATGGTCGTGAATAGGGTATGGAGCAAATATAGACTAAGATTCAAGCAACTTTCTAAAAGGCAGCATAACTAAGGGAATTAATCAGTGATAAGTAATATACATGGAAAAAGAAAAAAAAATTGGTCAGGAGCAGCATTATTAAGTCTAGCCGGTCACACGGCAAAACCATTCAGCCCAGTATAGCAGTTGTATGGTATCTTGGGACAAAGTGCAGGTCTTTGCTGTCATTGCTTCCCAGCTGTACGTTCATCATTTTTCAGGCAGTGCCCAGGCAGGGGAACGTGATTTCAAAAGGAGTCTGGTGGGATGTTGGTGGGCTCCACAGCCAGGGAAAGGAACCCTGCCACAGCCTTCAGACTATGAAAATCATTACTGGTCCTCTTCATTGTTCCCTAGTTTGTGCTGCCTTCTTGCTTTCATGGGGTGTCTTTTCAGGGTGTCTTTTCCCACTTTTCCTCCCCCAACCACCTCCACACCCAGGTTATGAATCAGGCCCGCCAGTACCCTGCAAGGGCACCACTGGCAGAACTTCATTTATTCGCTTTAGTAAGTTCCCAGCATATGCTCAGCCTTGGGCCCGATGGTGAGGATCTCAATGCTAAGAGCACTACTGCGCCCTGGAAAGAATTGCTTCTGAAGAAACTAAGTCTCACCCTAGGCAGATTCCTAGGAAACGAGCCTGCTCTGAAACCTGTGCAAGTGACCTACGCAGAAGCTTCTTCTCACCTCCCGTGCTTAACCCTTTGCTCTCACTGAGAAGGGATCAGCACAACAGGATTCCACCTAAAAGCAAAAGTAATATAGTGGCCTGGTACTGGTCTCCCATTTTCATTCCCACCTTCCCCTTACTTCTAGATGAACTGCCCTGGGAAAAAGTCTCCAGCGATGCTCCAGGATTTACTTAATTAAAAATGCAGTTTCTTTGGGATGCCTGGGTGGCTCAGTTGGTTAAGCCACTGCCTTCGGCTCAGGTCATGATCCCAGGGTCCTGGGATCGAGTCCCACATCGGGCTCCTTGCTCAGTGGGGAGCCTGCTTCTCCCTCTGCCTCTGCCTGCTTGCGTTCCCCCGCGCTCGCTCTCCCTCTCTCTCTGACAAATTAATAAATAAAGTCTTAGAAAAAAAAATGCAGTCTCTTCACCACCATGCGAAGCACCCGGTGAGAGGGCTACAAGAACTTACTTTCTCACTGCTAAGTCTCCCTCCAAATGTAGCCCGATCACACTTAGTGAACACGTATGATGGATCTTCTCACACCCCAATCTTTCCCAGCTTTCCCTCTGCGTGGATGTGGCCCCATTCCGTGGAGCAGACAAATCAGGTTCAAGGTCTTTTACCATTTCCCCAACAGTAAGTCGACCTTCCATTTCCTCGGACTCCCGCCTCGCTCAGCCTGGGCCTCCCCTCTTCCTAGCCTCTGTACTCCTGACGGTCACGAAAGTGCCCCAGTCCTTTGGCCAGATTCCATGCAGCAAAGACTCTGCCCTGTGCCCCCAAGCCCTGGATGCACGTAGTGGACCTGATAAGTAAGCTGTTTCCTGGCGAAGGCTGACGCTAGGAAGGGTCCTGATGATTAGGAGACACCGACAACCCGAAATGCCCGGATCCTGAGAAATAGGGTTCACGAACTCTGGCAGAGACTGCAGGGACACAAGATGGAAAGGGGGTTCCCATCATACAGGAAGCATGCCATCGTGCACGGAGCGGGAGCCAAGACTGCAGGGGACCTAAATCCCGTACTAGGGGCCGCCGCCCGTCGCTCGTGGGACCGGGGCCGAGCCGCGGCTCCCTATTCCTGCCAAGGACACTACAGCTAGAACCCGTCACACCGGCTGGAACCTACCTCATCAGGAAAACGTGATCGTTGTGAGGGACACGCGGCCCAGAGGAGGGACCAAGCCCTCGGGGGCCGCCAATCCTGACCGGGACGAAAGCCCCGGGAAGGCCGAGGGCCCCGCGTGCGCAGGGGCGGCCACCCTCGCCGGGCTGGGCTCCGAGTAGCGGTGCCTCCCGAAGGCCACGCAGGCACTAGCCGGACGCGCAGTGCCTTCCGGTGCGGGACGCGAGGCGGCGATAGCCGCTCGCCGAGCCGCGTGGAGGCCCCTCTAGGCCGCGGCAGGAACGGGACACTCGATAGCATTAACGCTTTCCGACCGCCAGGGCGGCATTGGAAGGAAAGCGGGTTTCCTCCGCGAGGGTGGGGCCCGCGGCGCGGCGGCTCGAAGCCCCTCCCCGGAAGGGCGTCATTCCGCTTCCGGCCGGAACGCGGTGTCGGATGGGACCCGGGTGGGGACGCGGGCCTGACAGCCGGTACTGAGGCGGGTCGTGCGCGTGGCGGGGCCCGCTTGCGAGTAGCGCGGGGCGGAGGGCGGCGACCTGCAGGTGAGCGGGTAGCAGGGGGAGCGGCGTGGGCCCCAGAGCTCCCGAGGAGCCCCGGCAGCTGCGCGGTGGCGGAGGCAAGGCAGCTATTGTCCGTGGGCGGCGGTGGTTTCGGGCCGGGCGGCCGCAAGCTGACGGCCGGACCGTTTCAGGGAGCCCCGCCGTCGGACTCCACCATTCTTTTGTCCGCCTTTGCGGAGACGGCGTCGGGGCCGCGGCGGCCAGCTTCCCGACTCGCTGGCCGGAGTTTCCGCGGGTCGGGGACCCGGGCGGTGCAGCCTCGAAGATGTCAGCCTCGGCCGGTGCCGAAGCGCGACGAGCGTCCGGGTACCCGCTGAGCCGGCCGGGCAGCCGGCCATTTGAGAACATCGTGGCGTCCTGGCCGAATTTGGGAGCCGCTCGTGCGGTCTCAGGCCAGGGAAGGGGAGGTCCCGGACTCTGCTCAGTCTCGCCTCGAGGTCTAAATGAACGTCGAAGAAAGGGAAGGTGGGCTGAAGGGTCACCGTCAACAGCATCAATTCCCCTTCTCTCGTTCTTTGCGGCTTGGCCTTTGGATAAGCGTTTTGTAAGCCAAGGTCAGCTGTGATTTTTCTGGGTCAAGGAAAGAGGTTCTTAGAATAGGACTGCTTTTTCCCTCATTACTTTCCTCCTCCTCTGGTGTCACTTCTGTGTCCCAGCTGTCCTGCCAGTATCCGTAGAGTGGAAAGGAAAATCTGGAATGTTCCACGTACGGAGGGCTTCGTCTTCACAAGAGAATGAAGGATCAGAGAAGTTGGACCCCCTTGCTAGAGACAGAAGACTGGGATGACACGTTCACATTTAAGAGGAACTCAGAATATTCCCCCGATCCTCCCTTGGCGTCAGTGTCTGGGGTGGGAAGCACAACAGTGAAGTCTTTGGAGAATCCCCATGCCTCTTGCAGCCAGAGGGTGTAAATGTTCTCACTGCTAACCTTTCTTGAATCATTACTTTTGCAAAGACCCAAGTCCTCAGTGGGTATTTGTCTGTCAATGAGCTGTGCATTATTTCAAGTGTATAATAGAAGAAGAAAGGGTCTGGCAGTGGGTTCTTTAAAAGGAAAGGACGTGCACCGCGGTGGCTCAGTGGGTTATGTGGCAGCATTTGGCTCAGGTCGTGATCTGGGGGTTCTGAGATGGAGCCCCGTGTCAGGCTCCCTTCTTATCAGAGCGTAAGCTGCTCCCTCTGTCCTTCCCCCTGCTCGCTTTTTCTCTCTCTCACTCAAATAAGAAAAGTCTTTAAAAAAAAGGGGTGGGGGATGGCACCTGGGTGGCTCAGTGGGTTAAAGCCTCTGCCTTCGGCTCGGATCATGGTCTCGGGGTCCTGGGATCGAGTCCCACATCGGGCTCTCTGCTCAGCAGGGAGCCTGCTTCCTCCTCTCTCTCTGCCTGCCTCTCTGACTACTTGTGATCTCTGTTTGTCAAATAAATAAATAAAATCTTTAAAAAAAAAAAAAAAGGAAAGGCAGATTTTTCTTCATTTTTCTCCCATTAGGAGTAGTGGATAGTAAAGTTCATATGACTTTCTTACTGATGTGCACTTTTCTTCTGCTCTCAGTGTTTTAGGAAGAAGATCATTTTACTGATTTTGTTCCCGAGCTGACCAGGTCTTACTTGGCGAAGGTTGTACTGGTGGAGTGTCCCAAGAAAAGAAGAAAACTGTTCGTGCAGCAAAATAATGATGGTAGATCTGAAGGTGGCTGACTGTTTGAACCCTCAGATCAGGGTTCTGTCAGAAAGCAAGGGGCCTGTGATAGAGAGTTCCAGTCACAGTAAGAAATGTACCGCACAAACGGACAATCCCAGTCCTGAAAGCTGTCGCCAGCACTTCCGGAATTTCTGCTATCATGAAGCAGCAGGACCCCGTGAAATTGTTGGACAACTTAAGGAATTATGCCGTCAGTGGCTCAGGCCAGAGCTCCACTCTAAAGACCAGATCTTGGAACTGCTTGTGCTAGAACAGTTTGTGACCATTCTACCCAGGGACACCCAGAGCCGGATAAGGAAGGACCATCTACAGAGCATTGAGGAGGCTGTGGCCATGGTAGAGCACTTGCAGAGGGAATCTGGTCACGCGAGGAATGGGGTGAGAAGGAAGATTCCGGATACGTGCAGTGAAATAGAATGAAGGCAGACATGGGTGGGTGCAGTTAATTGAGAAATAAGGTGAACTCGGTCACTGTTCTTTTGGAGGACATTTAAGGCAGGACCAGAAACCACAGACTTAGCAGTAGTCCTCAGGTCTGGCAGACCCTTGGCAGAGAAAGATTCCTTTTGTGCTCCTTAGAGCCAGACTGAATTGAGGGTAGTAGCCTACTTTGGGTTGTACAAGGACAGGGGTTTTGAGCTCCAAATGAATAAAAGGCAGTAAGGAGTTGGAGAGGGAGGGGAGGACTTTGAAAAAGGGAGAACACTTAAAATGCAGGTTGAGCAGAGACAGTAAAGAGAAGGAAAACCCTAATAATGGGAGAAGAATGTAAAGGGAGAGAAAAGTAGGCAGAAGAAAGGGAAACAGCTTTGAAAATCTTGGCAGAGTAGCGGAGAGAAGAAAGATGTTGAGGGATAGTGTCGTCTGACTCATAGGTGAGAGCCTCCACAGTGCTCTCAATGGTTGGTCCTTGGCTCTGCTGGTTAGCGGGGAGTTTGTCCTTAGCCAGGTGGCAGAGCCAACTTGCTTCAGGCCTGCTGGGAAGAAACAATGCAGGCATATGTGTAATGCCAACATTTTTTGGAGGTAGGTTGGAGCCAGACTTTCTTCCCCTTTCTTCCATTTCATCCGTGTTCTGTGAAAACGTTCCTTGGCCATGGTGGATAATATGGTTGAGGAGACAACTGCATTTATTCAATTCTTTAATCTTTTGAGAAATTGAGAAAACAAACACTAAGGAGGGATCTCAGTCAAGGGAGAAATCCTGTCAAAGTAGCATGAGAACAGGTGGCCTGTGTAATCTTGCTACTGATCTTAGTTGGTCTGTATGCAGCGGGGCCGGGCTTGCTGTGTCAGAGGACTAGGAGTAGCCACTTTTTTTTTTAAAGATTTTATTTATTTTGACAAATTTATTATTATTTATTAAAATTATTATTATTTGACAGCTATATTATTGACATATTTATTTATTTTATTTATCTTGACAGAGATCACAAGCAGGCAGAGAGGCAGGCAGAGAGAGGGGGAAGCAGGCTTCCCCCCGAGCAGAGACCCCAATGCAGGGCTCGATCCCAGGACCCCGGGACCACGACCCGAGCTGAAGGCAGAGGCCCCAACCCACTAAGCCACCCAGGCGCCCCGTAGCCACGTTTTTTTTTTTTTTCCTACCCTTTTATCCTAGTATTTCAATGTTTTATGGGTAGCTCTCTGTGGAAAAGTGGTAGCCTGATATTTCTTTAAGTCTTTTTGTCATTTCCTTCAGTGTGACACACTTGCCACCATCTGGACTGTTCACTTTTTCCTCCTTTTACAATCAGCCCCAAAACCTAAAGTAATTTTTGTGGTAACACAGATTGGGATTATTTCTAGGTTGCAGTCCAAGAGCTGGGAAAGGAGGCAGTGCTCTTGGGAGAAACAGCAGAATCTCAGCCAGTGGGCATGTCCCAGGATGAAGAATTCTGGAAAACATACCAGGGTCTGCAAGAACAGCTGAGCGGGAGTACTCATACAGGAACTGAGCCTGTATGTGAGAGGGGTAAGGCACATCATGATAATTCCCTTCTGTTGGGAGCTGTTAGAGAAATTTGTTCAGCCAGAACATCGTGAGCATTTTCTGGGTGCCTGGCCATGTGGATGGGCTGACACAGCCATGTTAGCAATTATGATGTCCCCTAGGTGGCAGTAGAGCACCAGCTGTGGGTGAAGCGGGGAGTTGGCCTAGGGTACAGGAACGTTCTGCTTACAAAACCCTGGTAATAACCCCATGAGCTCTGTTCCTTAGAAAGCACTAGCAGAATGTGAACACAATTCTCTACCAGGAGAAAAATAATAAATGATTAAAAACAAAAACCCAACTACATCTCCTCTTGTACACTGGATAACCTGAGTACTTCATCTTTGAATCCGTTCAATTTTTGCCTTAGAACAATTTACATCATGAGAAGAAAATAAGTTTGTCTTTCATTTATTCACTCATGAAAACTGGGGAGCCTATTCTTCTGACCAGTAGGTACTTGCCTCTTCTGTATGATGATAAGACCCATTTCAGGAAACCACACACACTTGTAAGGGTGTCCCGAATCTACCAAAAGAACTGGGATCATCTGTATTTTAGAAATGAGCTAAGGATGTTTACAGACAGAAGTGAGAGCAATTTCCTCTGGCTCTTTTCTACTTACAGCTGTGCCTGCTCACCAGATCCTAGCATTTCCTGTGTGGACAAACACTAAAGACTGGACCGTGGCACCTGAGCTCGTGTTGCCTGAGTCCCAGGTGAGCTACGTGATCCAGCTGTTGAGGGCTGCCTTTCCCTGCTGCCCAGGACCCACCCTGCCCAGCTCACAGGCATGTTAGCCCCAGTGTTCTCCCTGGGGGACTGGGCACCTCTTAGGCTGTTGATGATCCCTTGCTTCTTTCCTTTTTTGCCTTCTCACTTTAAAAAAAATGTGCTATTAATTCCTTGAGTGCCCAGGTCGACCATGGGCCAGGCGGTAGGGCTGCTTCTGTAGTGCAAGTACTGAGCTGAAGCCCATTGTCTTCTTTAGAGCTTGTTGACATTTGAAGAAGTGGCCATGTATTTTTCCCAGGAGGAATGGGAGTTACTGGATCCCACTCAGAAGGCCCTCTACAATGATGTAATGCGGGAAAACTATGAGACTGTCATCTCTCTAGGTAAAGACCCTCCCTCTTCCATTGGGTAGAAGTTGAGTAATCTGTCATGTTCTCTGCTTACTGGGAATGTACTCCTCTGAGAGGCTGTGTTCCCATATCGGGTTGTTTTTCAACTAGATGGTGTGTGGACAGGGGAAAGGTGTATCCAGGTCCCTTGGTTAGTTTTGTACAGGTGCACACTCCATGTGCTATGTGGATGTCTTGATTTATTTTTTCTCCTTCCCCAAATCTGTTTTCATGTATCTCTCTTCTCGGTCAAGAGCGTTCACCCAGCAGCTACGAGGAAGGTCATCCTTTTCTGTGATCTCGCCCTCATACCGCATGTTAATGCGTCACTGTCCTTCAGGCTCCGTCACAGTGTAGCCCGAGCGCAGCCATGCCTCATCTCCCGGTGCTGTTAGCGTCCTGGCTTAAGCCGGCAGCATGTGTAACAGCCTGACCTGGGCACTTTCTGACTGGTGCCCCTGCCTCTTGCCGTCCCACACTCTTTTCCACAGAGCAGCCGGAATCTTTGAAAAACCTGGTCAAATCATGACATTTCCCATTGTAAACCTTATGGTGAATTCTCACCACATTCTGAATAAAATCCGCACCTTCCTGAAGTGCTTCAGGTCCTCCGGGATCTGACCCCACTCCCCTCCCTGCCCTCACCTGCTGCCACCTGTGCCCTCGCTCAGTCCCCTTGAAGTTCACTGGTCTTTCTGTTTCTTGAAATTGCCATGGTCGTTTCTACTCTCCCCTTTCCTCTGCCTGGCGCACTTTTCTGCCCCATGGCAAAACTCACTTCTGCATTCCTGCTGCAATACCAGTTTTTCAAAGAGGCCTTCCCTCCTACCTCATCTAAAGAAGCTTCAGAGAAGCAGAAATCTTAAAATGCTGGGTAGCCTGCCTTAGGTTTCTACAGAATAGTTACTGTGTGCTGACAACTTTATTGCTGTTGGGTTGTCTCCTCCCACCAGAAGGTGAACTCCCATGAGATCAGGGTGCTTTGGCTTAATCACCACTATACCATTAGCCCAAAGAGAGTTTCTGGCACATTATAGCTAGTCAGTACATTACTAATGGAATGACGGATGAATACTTTCTCAACTTAGCGACGTATATTTAGAAAAGTTTCGTTAAGTGATTCTGGTCTGTTTCTTCCACCTGGACAAGAACCAGTGACTTAAGCAGTGTAAGAAATCCTTTCTGGTCCAGTGTGTGGTGCTGAAGAGCTAAGTAAAAAGTTATAATTATCAGGATAGAAATCACTGCTTTCGATATGCGGCTCACCGACCTTCACCTTGCTCTGCTAGACTTGGGTTCATCCTAAGGAACTCATAGGAGTAACCTGCATTCCCTGCAGATTCTGGGGTTTGGTTCAACCTTGTTCAAATATAGGGTCATCTTGGTGACAGAAGAGGGCACTGTAGAGGGACTCCCATGCCCTTTATCCTCTCCATGCGTCCAGCTTAGGTTTATTTCTCAGTCTCCACGTTGTGTTTCCATCCACAAATGCATTATAGGATAAAACCTGAAAGCAGACAGGGGAGTCTACCCACTTGACCATTTGGGTAGCACATTGTAAACTCTCCTTTGTTCTTCCTGAAATAGTATGGAGTTGTGGGCTGTTGTTGGGTTCCCAGTCCTTGACGTCCTTTTTTCCATTTCACAGCATTATTTGTGCTCCCCAAACCTAAAGTGATCTCCTACCTAGAGCATGGGGAAGAGCCATGGGTTCAAGGTTCCTTGGAGTTCAAGAACAGTCCTGGAGAGCTGCCTTCAGGTAAGTATACCATGGGAAGAAGGCAAATATGCCTTGGATAGCAACCTTTGCAGGGACTTAACATTTAAAATTCTGCTTATCTGTATTTTGTAAGTCAGTAATCTTTGGATATTTCTCTCCATTCCTATAGTTTCGCTTTGCCATACAGTTGGCTGATTGTTATGTTTATTCTCACAGAGTTAAAGGTCAAATCTGACACTGAAAACCATCAGCCTGTGTGTCTTTCTGACTTAGAAATACAAGCGCCAGGAGACATAGTATCAAAAAAGACCCGGGTGAAAGTTCCCCAGAAGACAACAGGCAAAGAAAATCATGGTGATGCACAGAAGATGGGGAAATGGCAAAGAGATTTTCCCGTGAAGAAAAGAAAGAAACTTTCAACATGGAAACAAGAGCTGCTAAAACTTATGGATCTCCACAAGAAAGCTCGTGCTGGAGAGAAGCCATTTAAATGCCAGGAATGTGGGAAAAGCTTCAAAGTTAGCTCTGACCTCATTAAGCACCAAAGAATTCACACTGAAGAGAAACCGTATAAGTGTCAGCAGTGTGATAAGAGGTTTAGATGGAGTTCAGATCTTAATAAGCACTTAACAACACACCAAGGAATAAAACCGTACAAGTGTTCCTGGTGTGGGAAAAGCTTCAGTCAAAATACAAATTTACATACACACCAAAGAACGCACACTGGAGAGAAGCCCTTTACATGTCACGAGTGTGGGAAAAAATTCAGTCAGAACTCCCACCTTATCAAACATCGGAGAACCCACACAGGCGAGCAGCCATATACTTGTAGCATATGCAGGAGAAACTTTAGCAGGAGGTCAAGCCTTCTTAGACACCAGAAACTCCACCGCTGAATGGACATTTGTCCATTGTCCTCATTCTGAAGAAGTTCATCAAGTGGAGGTTGACCCTGAGATTTATGAAAAATATATGAAATTATGAAGCATGAATAATTCTTCATCAGTGGAAAATTTGGTGATATAAATGTGTTTCACAGGAATCAAGGTTGACTGCAGGGATCTCTGTAAGTAGTTTTATACTACTTACATTTTTACACGTAGCCTTTGGGGAATTCCTTAGCAAGAAAGGTGTTGCAGGAACATTGTCAGTAAGGGAAACATTTTTGTAGTTGAACCTGATGAAATAGCAAATTCAGCTTTAAATGGAGATGCGTACATGACTCAGTCTTCTGTGACCAGAGAGGGTAGATACTGTTGGTTTTGCATTGAATTCCCAGCCACTTTTAAACACACTGGTAGAAACATTTGTAGCATGGTCTTCCAAAAGAAAAAGCAATAACCTGCATATTAATTGGATACCATTGCCTTTAAGGTTGTAAGCTTCCCAATTTCAAGAGTCCTATGACACAAAAATGAGTTCTATTGTCAAATTTTCCAAGAACCAAGTTGGATTTTCTTCCCCTTCCTTGTCATTGGACACTGTTCCCAACGTTGGACATACTTAAGTTTCTTCTTGAACATTTTAGGAATTTTAGCTCTTGAATCCTTTTAGCACCATTTTTACTGTGATGAAATACTGTTTACTTCAGCACTAGGGAATTTGCCAGATAAATAATGCACTATCTTGTACCTCATTGGTGGTGTTTGAAAAAGATAAACATCTCTAATGAGATCATACGGAAACGGGTTGGAATGTTTAGCCATGGAATACATGTAAAGAAGAACTTTCTGCAATAAAAGAGACTAGTCCTTTTCTTATGATCTCATATGATAAAAAATTAAAGATAGCACTTTCTGGAGTACTACAAGAAAATTAATGGAAGTTCAGGATGAACTTCTCACGTTTTTATTTGCTTTTCCTTTGGCTTTGTTTATTTTTAAGAACAAGGGCAGAGTTGTGTTGAGGAACTGGAGCCTGTGCTGCAAGGCAGGGTGTTCACTGGGCGTGCCAGAAGGTTGGGTTCCCAGGAACAAAGTTTGGGAATTGGTGCTGAGTGGTGGACAAGGACGGGTGAATCTGCATTCACGTTGGTTGTCTTACACTGTAAACCGGTGTTAAGCCGGCAGGGTCTCCCTGTGTCTGTTTTGTACACAGCGTGTAACAGCAGCCTTCGGGGGTGAATGGTAGATGGCAGAACGCCTCTGTGGGCTGTGAATCTTCTTACTGTCTACAGCAGTGACTCCCATGTGTTCCTGTTAGAGCTTTTAGGTGGCGTCAGGAAGGGGGTTAAATGAGCTCCCGAACACCTTAGAAACAATGAGGTTAAGGCTCTGATGGAGGGACTTGTTCAAGACCCTGTTGCTCTTGGTCC